CGCCCGCCGAGCTCTGCGTGTTCCCGGCTCCAGGTCCCGCCGCCCCTTCGTTCCCGGCCGCTCCCTCCTCCCGAGCCCCCGAGTCTCCCTGCTCGTCCTCGCCTCCCGGCTCCAGAGCCCGAGCTGTCGCCTCGCAGCCCCAACCTGCCCAGGCTACGGAGCATGCCCAGTGCGGCGCGCCCGGCCTGGGCTGGGGGTGGGCAGGGGCCCGGCCTGTCGTCCGCTGCAGCAAGCCCGGGGCGGGGAGAGGACGCCGGGCGGCCGCCTCGGGCCGGGGGCGCAGTCTTCTGGGCCCGGGGCCGGACAGCCGAAGGGGGTGGAGGACAACGCTGGGAGAAGGTGGGTGGGGCGTAAGGGGAAGTGGCCCCGCCGCACGCTGCCCAGGGGTCTCCCCGGAGGCCCCCTGCGTGTCCCTGTCCCGAGCCACATCCTCCATGCCGGGGGGTCGGGGGCGTACAGGTCGGCGTAAGGGGCAGAAGCCCGGGGTGAAGGGGTGGTGGCGTCCACCTTCGGGTGGGAGACCGGCAGTCCGTTACGGGCCATGGGGCGGGGTTGGGGGTACGGAGTTGGGGGCGGGGGTGTCAGAAACGGCGAGAACTGGTGCCCCAAAGTAGCTGGCGAAGGCTGGGTGAGAGTGTTTGTTTATAGCTTGTTTAATAAACACATAAAGCACTACAATGCGTCAGGCACCGTTCTAAACGCTTTTTATTCATTTAATCCTTAAAACAATCTTCCAAAGCAAGTACTACCATTATCTCTTTTTTGCCGAGGAGTAAAACCGAAGCACAGAGAGATTAAGTGGTTCCAAAAAGTCTTCCCCCAAGTGCAACCTCAGACATAAGCCCCCCACCCCCGCCGACGTTGGTCCCTGGGATGCTGGAGCGCTGCTCCAGCCGATTCCAGGCTCTTCGCCCAGTAGCTGGCCCCAGGTGACTCGAAGTCACTGTTACACTCAGGCCCTAATTGCGTTCTACCTAGCATCATGCTTTGTGAGAACCCTTACAACGTGCAGCTCCAGGACTCCCGGGCGGGATCCCTCCTCCCCGCAGAGCCGCTCCTCCTCCTCCTCCCGGCCGGCGGCCACCAAAACCCGGAGACATGGCACCTGCGCATTGGGGACTGGGGCCACGCTCGCAGCTAAACTGGGCATGCTCAGCCGCCTGAGCAGGTCCTGCTAGCCAGGAGAAGGAAAGAAAGGGCTTGATGGCACGTGTAGTGTGGGGAATGGAGGGTGAGTGTGCGTGCAAACAATATTCCAGTCTCCGAGGGGTAGGGGCAGTTGTAGATGCAAAAGAGTTTCCCTAGCCCATCCCGGCCATTTCCAGGCCGGACTAAGAGGGAGATGATCATCAAAAGTTTACCAACTGGGCATCCTTAACCTGGAAGGTACTGGGGTACCCACTGAAACTCCCCAGTTAAACTGCTAAACTGCAATTTTAGCTGAGTCCTGAAAAAAAACTAACTCGACAGCTGAGCTGTCTCTCTGTGAGGAACCCAAGAAATATCTCCTAGACAAAGTTTCCCTACAAGATCGGAAAGGAAAGACAAATCCCAGAGAAAAATTAGGTGGCTCTTCATTCTTCAGGGGTCTTCAGAAAGTGATGATCTTGAGTGATGTCAGGGTGTTAAGGCAGCGTTTTTCAAACTTCAGTGTGCACACAAATCACCTGGGGATCTTGCTGAAGTGCAGATTCTGATTCAGGAGGTCTGCAGTGGGGCCCGAGATTCTGCATTTCCAACAAGCTGCCATGTCATGCTGATATTGCTGGTCTTCAGATTAGACTTCGAATAGCAAGAACCTAAGGCAGTATTTCAGGCCTGTTTTCTATTTCATATTAGAGAAAACTAAGGTTCAGAAAGGCAAAGCAATTTGCCTGATGTCACACAGCAAATAGGTAGTGTAGCTAAGTTCAAACCCAGTTCTCTAGGGCTTTGTGTGCGTGTTCCTGTACTCTCGGAGTATGGCCCATAGACAGATGAGCTAGAAGCTGTCATCTATGAATCTTGACAGTTTTTAACAGTGGAACGCAATTTAGCACATTTTAAAAAATGACGTGGGGATAGTGTCTAACCTCCTCTAACTTCACAAGGGGGAAGGAGAACCAAGATCAGTAGCCCAAGGCTGATTCCTATAAGGTAGAGGTCAGACCTGCCTTCTCTCTCCGCCGTCTTTACCAATTCTGACACCAAATGTCCATTCCACAGCACTCTCTGCTAGGTCTGATAATTCATTGCAGTGGCCACACAGAACTCACAGATCACACTCACAATTATGGCATTTATTAAAGAAATAACAGTTACAATTCAGGCTCAGGAACAGTCATCCATCAGGATAGTTCTTCCATCAGGATAGCCTCTTCCCAGCCTTGCTTCCAGGCACACCTCTCCGTGGCCCTCAGTCTCTGCCCAAAGGCACTCAGCTTTCTCTCTCTCTCTGGGCCAGGAAGCCCACCACACTTTCTCCTGCTGCCGGGTCTCTGCTGCTGGGTCTCTCCTGCTGGTCTCTTCTTCCTTGGTGGTGGTGGACTCTTCTGTCTCTGCTCTGGAATTGGCTCTCTTTTAAGACAAAACAACCCAATCCCCTTGGTGGGCCACAAGTATCTTATTTGCACAGCCCCGCCCAGTCACCTGGGTGGGAGTCATAAACCCATGGTGAGAAAGGCCATACTGAAGCAACCCTTTACACCACACACATAGTATACCCACATACACTGTAATAGTTAGCCTTTGTTGTGTAACAAACCACACCAAAACTTGTCGTTGTTGTTTTCAGTGGCCCCTTTCCTCTGACTTCAAAGCCAGCAAGGCAGGTCGAGTCCTTTTCACATTACATTGCATCACTGGCCTCCTCTTCTGCATCTCCTTTCCACTTGTAAGGACGCTTATGATTACACTGGAGCCTTGAGGGTGCAGTGGTTAAGAACTTGGCTGCTAACCAAAAGGTCGGCAGTTCGAATCCACCAGCCACTCCTTGGAAATCCTATGGGGCAGTTCTACTCTATATGGTTGCTATGAGTCAGAACTGACTCAACAACAATGGGTTTGGTTTTTGGTATGATTACATTGGGCCCACCCAGATAATCCAGTGTGTTATTGTTGTTAGTAGCATCCAATCAATTCCAACTCGTGGCAACCCCATGAGTTACAGAGTACAACCGCACTATGTAGGGTTTTCAAGACTGACGTTTCCGAAGCAGATCACCAAGACTTACTTCCAAGGAGACTCTGGGTGGATCTGAACTGCCAACCTGTAGGCTAGTAGTTGAGCACTTAACCATTTGTGCCACTCAGTCTAAAACAACAAGTATTCATTAGCTCAAAATTCTGTGAATCAGCAACCTGGGCTGGAATCAGCTGGGCAGTTCTTCTGCTGTCCTCTCCTGGGCCCAGCTGCAGACGTGTGGAGCTCGGAGCCTCATCTGGGATGACTAGGATGGCCAGCACTGCTGTGGGGCTGCTTCATATGCTGGTTCCCACCAGCAAGGCAGGGCAAGCCCCAACTAGAAACTGCATTTCATGCATCTGCTTGTTAATGTCCCTTTGGGAAAAAAAAGCTACTTGGTGGTCATGCTCAGATTCAAAAGGTGAAGAAATAAACTTCAGTTTTTGATGGAAGGAGATACAAAATAGAATGGTGTTTTTGTTTGTTTGTAATATACCACATATACCAAACTAGTCCCGCCTGTTCTAGGGTTTGCTTGAAATTTTATAGATTTAGCCTATCTTTAATTTTACATGTTGGCAAACCAAATCACAGCTATCTTTTTGTTGTTGCTAGGGCTTCAATCTAATATTGAGTTTATTAAGGAGTTTCAATTCAGTGGAAGATCCCGCGTGGTGCACAGTGCTAGGCTACGAATGAAAGGTTGGTGGTCCCAACCCGCCCAGTGACACCACAGAAGAAAGACCTGGAGATCTGTTTTTTTCAAGAATTGACTTGCTTGTGACTGATTTTGTCTTTTTGGTTCAACTCAAAAAAAAAAAAGAAAAGAAAACCCATTGCCATCGAGTCAATTCTGACTCATAGCAACCCTACAGGACAGAGTAGAACTGCCCCGTAGGGTTTCCAAGGAGTGGCTCGTGGATTCGAACTGCCGACCTTTTGGTTAGCAGCCAAGCTTTTAACCACTGTGCCACCAGAGCATCTTGATTCAACTCAGTGGGGTGTAAAACATTCAATAGGTTTGTTGTGTTTGTTTGTTTTTTAATACTAAGTTTAACTTGATTGTTTCAAATCTCCCATTTCCTTCTCTTAATGATATCTTACATATTTATTCACTCAACAAATATTTTTGAAACATTTTATGTATGAGGCACTATTCTTTGCCGTGGATACTGAGGTAAACAAGAGACATAGTCACTGTCCCTATGAAGCTTAGACACGATTAGAGGAGACAGACAATAATAGCATATCAAAAACATATAACATCAAATAGTGCTAAAACTGTGATGGAAGGGA